ATCTGCAGAATTTACCGCCTTTCCCCATTCTTTCAAGCTCGAAATAAGGCAACCGCCTTGGATGTACACAAGACAAGAAAGGGAATGACGTCTCACCAAGTCAAGGATAGGTGCAAGGAGCGCATTAAAATTTGTCTTATTATCGGCAACAATAAGGACCTTTCTATCCGATCCAGATATGCACTCCAATAGCGATTCAGCATGGCCTAGGACTTTGACACCATTGTTGCCATCTAAGGTGGCTTTAAACGCACAAAAAATGGAATCAAGCACGTGGATCTTTATGGATGGAAAGCATCCAGACCCGGCAACCGGAAAAGCCGTATTTGTCATCACATGGTCTTTGATCTTTTTTAAAATAATCTCGTCAATAGGCGGTAGGGGAGGGAAGTGCCTTGAAATGTTACCCTTAGAGTCAAGATTTTGCTGCAGTGTTTTTTGGCCATTTTCTTCTTGAAACGAAAAGCAGAATGGCTCCTCCATACCGACATCATCTGTCATTGCTGCAAGTGAGCGTTGGAATTTAAAGTTTCTCACATTTCGGAATGTAAACTTTTCAAGAGTTTAATGTGCACATCAGGGCTCTCATACATAAATAGGACCGCCATCAATAGGTAGGGCTATCTGCAATAAATAGGCGCATCTTCAATAGATATGCCCATCGTCAATAGATAGGCCCATCGTCCCCGTCATCAAAATCGCCGCCAAAATCGTCCTCGGGGTCAAAGTAGTTGGCATTATAGTCGTTATCATCAAACTCCTCTTCTTCCTCCTCAAACTCTTCGGGAGCATCCTCTTCATCGAGTGTTTCTTGCTTGGGGGTATCTTCAAGGGTGGCTTTCATGGAATCCCTTTGCTTCTCTTCCTTTTCAAGATCGTCAATTTTTAGAAAGCTGAAAAATTGGATCGGCGAGACGGTCGTTTGGATATCCTCTGCAAAAGATAAGCTCAAACTTGACATAATTTTTTTTTGGAACGCCTTTTCCGGTCTATACACTGCCAGAAGCTCTTCCGGGATTGCCTTGAGGTCTATTGATGATAAATCCACGACTTACTTGCAATGTGAATGTCATGGATTTTCGGCTTTGATGATGCGGGTTTCTCATATTTGTCCGAGTATCTCGGGACTTCTACAAAATAAATCGTTTCAAATACGCTACTTTTGGGAGGCTGTTTCTCTTCGATGTGATATGCAGAATTGGCAAATATCGCATCCAATTGCTGCTTGATCGACAAAAGTCTTTTAATTCTGGGGACAATTGGCTCCGGAATCGGGAGCGAAAATTCCTATCATTAGAAAATAAGCCACACTGGAAACAGCGGCTTTGAGGATTTTTTGGGTGCAAGCACCTCTCCCATGAGCGCATTGATTGCATATGAGGATGGATATCCAGATATGCTATGCTGGATGCTGGGTGGGAGGGCGGCCTTGGACTGGAAATTTTTTCCGCCTCGGCCTCCTCTTGATGAACGGTCTCCTCTGGCAGACATAAAATTGGGGCCTCAAATAAAGATTAAGAATTTCGGGATAATTAAAAATATTCCATTTGATTGGACATCTCTTTGACGAATGAATTAATTCACATTTGTAGCTCAAATCGCCGATGCCAGTTTTTCTTATAGTCATGCCTCCTCAAGACTCGGTAAATGCTATGGCTACCGCAATGCATATGCATCAGCAAGAAGAAGAGGCTCTAAAAAAAGCCCAGAAATCTTTGGATCAACAAGCGTCTAACTCCAATTTTGTTCCTATTGGGAACCTTTCAGAGGCCGAAAATGATGCTTCTTCTTCAACTCCATCGGTCCCAGCCAATCTTACTGATGTTGAAGATTCTAGTTTGCGAAATAAAAAAAAAGAAAAGGCCCCATCCAAAGCAGACAATAGGTCTTCTTTTCTTGCTCGGCCTCCTGAAGTAAAGCAATCCTCTCCGTTTTCATGGGGAGATGAAGAGGAGGGCGAAAATAGTGGAAGTTTCTCATCAAAGTCACAGAAAAGAGCAAATGGGATATTTGGCTCCTTATTCTTTATATTCGGCCAGATGAGCAGGATTTTTTTGTTTATAAGCCCTGCTCTTATCGCCATTCTTGTTGTTATGTTATTATTCAAGCCAAAGCCATCTGAGATGTATTCTCTTTTGGAAAGACAAGAAAACAGGCTAAATTGGAAGATGGAGATGTGCCGGTACTCTCTTTATTATATCATTACTGTGGTTTTGTATTATATAAGTCCCGTTGTTTTTCAGATATTTCTTTATCTGCTCAAAATCATTCCAAATAACCTTCCCGGAGGTATTGGGAAGAGCTTTGTTGCATGGCTGGATTACTTTTTTGGAACAAAATCGTATTGGGGGTTTGTTATTTTTACCATTTCTTTCCACATCTTAACGATCAATTTGCTGGTCGACAATAATCCTCCTCTTTGGAAAGATCCGGTCACCGGTGAGTCCTTCAAAGAAAATCCGAAATCTAATTTAGATTTTTATTATAAGGAGCCCCCAAGCTCCTCCTCAGATACGATGTCTTCTTTTCCCAATCTTCCTCCAAAGGTTTCTGCGGCACTTGACGGATCAAAAATTTCCAATCTCGTCAAGACCATTACCGATGGGAACGTGGTAATCATACACAGTTTGACAAAATGCCTAGTGGTATTTTCTATATTTCTTGCAATCGAAAAAAGCTTCATTCAAATCATCGGCGTGAGATTTCACAAAGTTGCCTTCGCCGACAGGATTTCCGAGTTAAAGTTGAAGAAAACCTATTTTGAAGATCTTCATTACATTTCAAAAGTGCGAGCAGGAAGTCGCAACAATGGGCTTTCGTTTAAAGTGTTGACCCCATCCATCGGCAGAGGCTATGACGTCGAAGCTGGACTCGATTTGAAGGCTATAGATTTAACGGCAACAGAAAAGTTGGAAAAGAAGACCATCTCGTCCTTTTCTCCTCAGACTGTGGGATTTGACGATAAAAGCCCCGAAGCTTTGGAAGCCATAGGAAAGGCCAAGTCTATTTACCTCTACTTTTCTTCACTCAAAGATGCATCTGAATGTGAAGATATCACTGAAGATGCCTTTAAACCATACTTTAGGGAGGATATTTATAAGGATGTATTTAGGCTATTTGACATGGATGGATCGGGGTCGATATCCAAAAATGAGCTAAAAAACCTTGCGTTATCACTGGTCAAAGAAGAACAGGCCATCAAGACTTCGTTGCGAGACCACGGTCAAATTGTGCGGAAACTCGATGCCATTCTCACAAGTATTGCTTCTTGCATCTCTTTGGTAATATCTCTTTCGTTTTTCCAGTATAATGTTGGCGTATATTTGGCGTCCATTGGCACCTTTATGCTTGGCTTTACGTTTATTTTTGGAGGATTTGCAAAGGCTATATTTGAGGATCTGGTGTTTCTATTTATTACGCATCCTTACGACGTTGGGGATGATATTATGCTAAATGGGGAACAATCTACCGTTGTCAACGTTGATCTCCTCACAAGCACTTTCCTTCGATGGGATGGACAGCTGATATTTGTGCCAACTCAATCATTGATAAGCAAAGAAATTCTTAATATAAGAAGAAGCGGGGCTCAAGCGGAGTGTTTTGATGTTTCTATTTCATCCACAACTTCTGTTGACAAGGTTGCCGCTCTCAGGACAAATCTCCAACAGCAACTAAAGGAAAGTAAAAAGGATTTCACAGGAAAAGTGGTCATGATCGGATTTGACGTTGATGGCGACAAAATGCGACTAAGGCTGACGGTCGAGCATAAAACAAACTTTCAGGATTTGGAAACGAAAGCTCAAAGACATAACAAGATCAAAATGATACTGAGGCAAATTGTAGAGTCCGAGGGCATAACTTATTATAACTTTTAGCAAAAATAAAAATTTTAAATTTAGCTTTTTTGATGCCGGAAGAATTCCAAAGTTCGGATTCGCCAGATAGTCCGCCGCCGGCAGGAAAGTCCTTTTCTGAGCTTGGACTATGCCCCGTTCTATGTGAGACAGCGAATAATTTGGGATTCACTACGCCAACTCCAATTCAAGCCGAAGCAATCCCATATGCATTGCAAGGTAGAGATGTTATCGGCCTTGCTCAGACTGGGTCTGGAAAGACAGCTGCATTTGCCCTTCCTATCATCCAGGCGCTATTAGAAAGTCCGCAGCCTTTTTTTGCAGCTGTTCTTGCACCGACCCGTGAATTGGCGATTCAAATAGCGGAAAGCTTTGAAAAATTGGGCGCCTCAATTGAGCTGAAAACCTGCATCATCGTAGGCGGCGTTGAAATGATGGCGCAAGCGATTGCATTGGCGAAAAAGCCGCACATAATAATTGCAACTCCCGGGAGGCTGGTTGACCACATCGAAAACACTCGAGGCTTTTCGCTGAAAAAACTGCGATTTTTTGTACTCGATGAGGCCGACAGGCTATTAAATATGGATTTTGGGCTTGACATTGACAAAATCCTCAAGGTGATTCCACAAAAGCGACAGACCTTCTTGTTTTCTGCTACGATGACCAGTAAGGTTGCAAAGTTGCAGCGCGCTTCTCTTGTTGATCCTGTCCGTGTGGAGGTTGCGACAAAATACTCGACCGTCTCTACGCTGCATCAGCATTATCTATTTCTTCCTGCAAAATACAAGGAAACCTTTTTGGTTTATTTATTGAACGATATTTCTGCCACGTCCACTATTATTTTCACTTCTACTTGCCACACCACGCAGCGATTGGCACTTATGTTACGAAACCTTGGGTTCTCTGCCATCCCTTTACATGGGCAATTGCCGCAGCCAAAAAGGCTTGGGGCTTTATCTCAGTTTAAAGGCGGGGCACGATCTATTCTTTTGGCAACAGATGTTGCATCCAGGGGTCTTGATATTCCGTCCGTTGATATGGTAATCAACTATGACATCCCCACACACTCGAAGGATTATATCCACAGGGTGGGTCGAACGGCTCGCGCTGGCCGTTCTGGAAAATCGATTACAATGGTTACTCAATACGATATTGAGCTATACCAGCGTATTGAGGTCTTGTTGGGGAAAAAATTGGACGAGTTTCCTATCGACAAGCATAGTGCGATGAGCCTTCACGAGAGGGTATCGGAGGCCATTCGTTTGGCAGTAAATACCTTGAAGGAACAGGATCTAGCAAAGAAAGAACGGAAGCTAGATAGCAGGCCCAAACGAGGTGGACCCTCCAGAAAGAAGCTTTCCGCTCCCAGAGATGATGCCGACATTGGCGAATAAATAACCCTAATTTAAAAAATCTTTTTATGAAGGTCGAATTTTCAGGTCTGTCTCTTTTTCCAAATATTAAACTTGCTCACTTGGAGTTGACGTTTACATGTGCCCCACGTGCGCAATGTAAAACTTGTGAAAACAGCAAGATCTTTCTTTTTAAGGAGGCAAATTGTTTTACACTTACCACGCGGCATACGGGTGATGTGCCGGCAGAGGAATTTCCCTTTCACCACGAATATACACAACATTTTACCATAACCCTTACATCTCAGTTATTACACGGAAAGTTTCACCGGTTGGGACACATAAAAAACATCCATCATTCGAAATCCGTGGTTACGCTGGTATTTGACCTGCAGGACTTTAGCCTTGCGTTCCCAAATGAATCTGAATACATGGTGTTTGATCCGATTGCTCGATATTTTTTTTGCAAATGGTGTTCTGTTTTGATTTCCAGCCATCCGCTTACCATCAAGGAAATGCCCTCAGATGGATGGAGGAATCTTGTCGAATATTGGACCTGCCATTCAAATACCCAGTCCGATGCAACTATATCGGCAGACTTGGCTCTATCTGCAAAACAAGGGGTGGTTTTATCCAGCCGATTTTACTATTCATTTTTCGAACCAGATGTAACCTCTGCTTGTCGCCATTTAATTGAAAACAATAAGCTATCCAAACTGGATGTGGTCCCAGCACTCTCGCCAAACTTCCCGCAACATACTGCTTTTGATCACAAGACTTCAATGGATTTTGTTCTTTCTTCCATACTTATGAGCATTATTTTTTACGAATCAATTTACTGCTTCAAGGTAGCATGCGATGTGGGCCATATTACCTTTCAAGTTTTGAACTGCAACAAGCAGAGGTTA